CGGCAGGCATTGGTCACTGTCAAACATCGAACAGTAACATGAAAACGTTACTGTATGATATTTCCATTCATTTCCGTTTATCGCTCAATGTCACATGACACCCAAAATTTGATATTTTTTGTACACACTATGACCTTTTACCGTCGGCGAAGCTTCCCGTGTGTTCATCTGGATAATTAGTTGTCATAGAGGGATTGGGAGTGCATGTCCCGAGAGCAGATCCATAGGGGTGGGACGGGGGCGGTGACCAATGGCCTAATCCCACTGGCGGAAGTCCGGTACACTTTCAACGGAAAGCAATGCAAACCTATGGCCACGCTTCTGAGCCGAATGCATCGGACACGGATAGAGGGCAGAGGGCGGTGCTGAGCCCGGCGCGGGCTAGCGGGGCCGGAGCGGACGCAGCTTCACCATTTCATTTGTTTTACTTGAGGTTCTCTAGGATAGCAATGAGTGGGGATGTTTGGATTAATGGATGGATGGATGGATGGATGGAAAACCGTAAAAGAACGACTCTGTCATGTAGAAATAATTTGTCTCTGTAACGCGCGTCGAAGGGGTCCAAAGCATAATAATAACAACAACAACCGACACCTTCCTCCCCTCGCGAGTATTTTCCGTCACAGTGCTGCGCTGCGCTGCACCCCTCGCGCTCCGCGTCCCCCTCGCCGCGCTGACGACTCCATCGGGCGCCGCCATCGCGACGAGGGATTAATAGTTATACAAAGCCTGGTTTGTTTGCTGAGTACTCTTTCTTTCTTCATCCCCGCGCCACTTCCTCCCCGGCCGACGGCCTCTCTGGTGATCATCTCGTCATAATCGTCCCCCCATACCCAGCTGCTCCGCCGCACCCCGCTCCGCCGCCGCCATGTCGCCGCACTCCGATATATGCAAAGTCTACGCACGCGCGGATCAAGTTTATCAATCACTTCAAAAGCGAAATAACAACAATAACGCACCATTTTAAATGAAGACCACAAAATGCCAATTTTCCTCTTCGGTGTGATATTATCCGTATGGGGCATGGCCATGTGTGAGATTTTTGGGGATAATGTGAACCAGCTCGGACGAGAGTTTGACCCCCAAAGATTACGTGCCTAGAACACTGAAAACGTCTGGCCTCTTTTCGCAAAAAAATTGGCGTTCTCTAAAGAAGGAATTGGCGCTCTTATTCGCAACGAGTTACATGGAATAGCAGCACTTTTTTGTACAAAATTGAATTGGTATGTTTTTATGCAAAATAACTTTCGTGCTAAAGTTAAATCTATGTTTCGGTTTCAGACAAATTTGTGCGCAAAAGTGCATTACTTTGTAGGAAAGAGTGCACGAAAGTGCCCAAATAAACACAGAAATGTGTTCCAAAAATTTGATTGATTCAATTCGTATATACATTCAAAGAAAAAGATACCATAAATCCAGTTTAGTCTGTACCGGGTGTAACAGTGAATAACGCAGCAGTGTTGTGGGATTGCATACTCAATATGGCCGCAGGGGCCAATGGCCCCTCACGGGTGTAAAGAGTAGGCAAACCCGCAATACTGCTGCGCATTCATAGTTCTACCCGGTACGTATAGTGGCCTGAAAGACGGCTGGATTAATGTAGCACAGCCCTTGGCTAAGTTTCCTCTGTTTAGCTGCTTGACCCAGCGGCGGGCAGGCGCACCCCGCCCGCCCCCAGCCCAGCGCGAGGGCCCCGCTTGGTCACCGTCATTGCCCGTATTGGGGTCGCGGCTCGAGAAGCCTTTAGCGGCGGCCGCAAACAAGGAAACGGGGCGCCGGCCGCGCCAGCCCACTCGGGGATGGTCAGGCTGTTGCGCGGCAACGGCGGGAGTTGCCATTTGTCAGTTGTCGACACCTTCACTACGGTAAAACAAATGTGCAAATGTTTGCACAAAGGTGCGGTGCAAGAGGGGGGGAAAAGTGCACAGATTTTGTCAGTCCATTTTAGCGAACTTTGCTATCAGAAATTTACCGGATTTCGTTAAAATACAATGTGTCTCAAACTTGCGATTTCGCATATTACATGGTGTTTCATTAAACCGCACACTGGTGCAAAGGTTATAAACATAATTTGCCTAAAAGTTTAACGAAATGTCTCATGTTTTGCAAACCAATAACGACACCTAGTTTCGACAAGATGAAGTGTTCAAACTTTGTACACTTCAAGCTGGCCTTCTCATGAACCTTACTTATTTCGTACCATTTTTAGAAAACGTTTTGTGGGCCTGGGAGCCTTTTCTTTTACAGCGCAGACGCGCTACGCTACGATCTGCTCCCGTGTCCGACCCGGTCGGTCCGCCAGCCCGTTGTCCGTTCTGGACTCTGGGGTGCACATAGAGAAAGAGAGAGAGAGAAGACCTTGTGAGCAGCCGTCTCTCTTTCACTAGGAGGCGGCCGCGCCGCGCCCCCGCCGCCCGCTCGTCCCCGGGGTGCTGTTGTAGCGGCTCGGCTACACGGAAGAAAGTAAAGGGCAGCGGAGGGCACAGGGAAACGTCAGCGGGTCTTCAAATTAATGACTATTGACTGAAGCCGCACCCGGCCGCCCGGCGCGGCGGCACAAAGGTGCGGTGCAAGAGGCGAAAAAAGTGCACAGATTTTGTCAGTCCAATTTAGCGAACTTTGCTATCTGAAATTTACGGGATTTCGTTAAAATATATAATGTGTCTCAAAACATGGTAACTTGGAAACGTTTTGTGAAAACAACCGAAGTTTTTCGCCCTAACATCATCGTTTCAAGAACACTCTCTTCGTATGGCCTAACGTATTAGCCCATTTAAACTGAATCATTTTCTCAACATCAGTGGTCGTGGCTTACAAGAACCGAATTGCTCAGTTTTCTTTTGTCCCTTATGCCATAAGGCACGCCTAGCGCATTTTACTCGCTCGGCAGTTTATAGCAGTCTACAGAACTGCTTAGCTTGAAGTTCCATCGAGACGACCGTCAGATTATTTCCTGTGAGTCTAAGTTCACGTGACGGGAATGTCGTTTCACCTATCGAGTTAACTTTGCCGCCGATCCAAACAGACACTCACCGATCGGGGCAGCGCCAGAGCCTCGGTGATGTCCTCCTCGTCGTCCATGAGCAGGCCGCCGATGATAATAATAATAATAATAAAGCCTCGGTGATGTCCTCCTCGTCGTCCATGAGCAGGCCGCCGATGTCGCTGAGCAGGTCGAGCTCGTCGTGGTTGAAGTCGGGCGAGAAGACGCCATCGTCCTCCAATCGGCTGCTACGAGCAAGCTGGTCAAGAAGGTAAAAGTTTAGATGAGAAAATAATTGTAATTTAAAACACAGAGAATATCACAAACGCTAATCGCGAAAAACAAAATACTCCTTTAAAGTTTTAAAAAGTAAAATTTGTACGTTTTGCAAAATTAAGGGAGGGAGGGATACGAAAAGAAGTACGGCTCCTGAGAAAAGTGGGGACGCGGGCGCGGGCAAAAGACTGAACAGCAGGACATGCCTGCAGGATATAGAGGAGGGGGCCACCCCCTCAGTCCCAAGTCACGAGCGAACTCCGCAATCATACCTAGGTACGGAAGGGGTCGGAAAGAGGGAGAGAGAGAGAGAGAGAGAGAGAGAGAGAGAGAGAGAGAGAGAGAGAGAGAGAGAGAGCACGGCCACGCCACTTGCTGTCACGTTTTTCTCACACGAGTAGTTCCAGAAAGTGGCCGTGGCAGAGGCGGCCAGGCCGGCAGGGCTGCCACCACCGCGGCGGCAAACCCAACCCTTTATACACTTTCCCACAAGCGCGCCGCTCGTTTCAACAAAAAGAAAGAACACGGCGACAGAAATCTAATTTGAGGAGTGGGGCAAAGAGGGGATTTAAAAAGAAATAACTTTGCTTTGCTAGCCAACTGCTAGCTTGCTTTTTGAGCAAAAAATTCCTTCAAATATTTTAGCGCGAGCGCGATTCGTCATACTATTCTGTATTCTAAAAAATCTCTGAAAATGAAGAAGCGACATTAGCCGCTCTCAGGAGGGCAACGTTTTAAAACCAATTTCGTCGCTCACCACAGTGACATGCTCACATGTTTTCATCGCTCAATGAACAGTATACTTTATCACTCAATTTCTTAACACCCCAAAAGGCCTAATGATCCCCAAGGAGAAGGTCGGGAGGTTCCAATTAAAAAAAAAAAAAAAAACTCAATTTTTGTCCTTCCAGAGACAGTTTGTGTTTACGTACGCCTTGTTCACCCGAACATCGCTCTTAGGGTGGATACAGAGTTCACAAAAAGAAAGCGTGATTCTCACGCCAGGCGTCATTTTCACGCTCCCTAAGCTTCACGAAGCCAATCAGGAACCGGACTTTTATCACGCTGGGCGTGAAAATCACGCCATGCCTGAGAATGGCGCTCGCTTTTAGGGAACTTGAAAGACATGTTCAATCTTATTTTTTACAGATTTATTTAACAAATGGTACTCACCTCCTCGAAGAGACGCAGGGGGTCGTCGACGACGAAGTCGTCGGCCGACCTGGAGGCGGACGGCAGGTCAGCCAGGTCGGCGTCGGGCACCTTGGCGTCATCGCGGCGGGAGGACGAGGACTCCGACGAGGACAAGGAAGGGGAGGCCCGGCTCTCGGCGAACGGGTCCTGGTCCTCGGGCCCGATAGCGACCACGTACTCGCCTGGGGGGGTAAAGCGTGATTAATCTTATGCCTTATCCTGATGCCATGTCAGGAGGGAGGGAGGGAGGGAGGGAG